TTCCAACCCCTATGATTCTATGACAAGGGCTAAAGCTTTTGTTTCTGGTGTAATGCAAGAGTATCCTTGGTCAGTGGAGTGGGGCTGGTGGTGGGAGGTCATCTGATGCCATTGTTCTGATCTCCTAGGGCTTGAGAAATGAGAACTGATTCAGCAGCACCATTCTTCTGTCAGGAAGTGAGGGCTGTTCTGTACTCCAGGCTTGCTGACAGTAGTGCCTGGGTCTGGAATCATTTTGAGTTTAATGGCAATATAGCTGGTGGCAGGCTGGGGCTGTGCTGTGTTAATGCAGGAAATGATGGCTGGCACAAACTTCCCTCTTCCTTTACAAAACACAGCATGCTTTAAAAAAAACAAAACAAAACACCGTTTTCATTTAACTCATGAGGGGGTCTGGCATGAGTTGCTGCACACATTTTTCTGCTGAGAAGGATGGTGGTGAGAGGAGAGGTCTATGTAGGGCCTGCAAGTCCCTTGTGCATAGCTCTGGCGGCATGTGAGGAATTTACTCAGCACAGGAGTTTTGGACTTCAGCCCATGTGTGACAAGCTTGTGTTCTCTCTCTTCAACTGCTAGGACACCACTAGCAACATACCTCTTAGAAAGTGTCATATGATGTACCTGCCTTTACTGAATCTAAATGAGTGCTGATACAATGTCTTTCTTTTCCTAAAGGGTCAATCATCTTCAGGTGAGAACTTCAAGTCTTCATCTGAAACACCTCCAAGAAAACAGAGGGGACTCTTCTCTGATGAGGAGGATACTGAAGTGAGTATCTCTTTAATAAATTCCTACATAAATTATTGGGATCTTAGTGACCCTGACTTCAGTCCACTCATATCTGGGGATTCCTTAATTATTTGTAGGACTGGGAACTCTGACACATATGCGTCTACTCCCAGCCATACTGGAAGTTCCTTTTTGCTTCAGGAATGAAATCTCTGGGAATATTTTCCCTATCTTCATATTGTTAAACTTGTGTGGTATGAACAGGTATAAATTGCATACCTGAAGAGGGGAAAGGTCAGCAAATTAAGAACAAGAATCATGAAAGACTGCATATGTGTAATTGTGTGTCATCTGCTTCCAGCTTGCAAGTAATCTGCAGAGCTGATGGGAGTTCCTATGTAGTTGCAGGTGATTTGTACATCTGAGTAAGACAGTCTTTACTTCTTTAAAAGGAAAAATACAAACGTCCCATTTGAAGTTCTTAAATATGTAGCATTGCTTTGCAAAGTGATGTTTCTTTGGTTTGCACAGGACTTGTTTTCAACCAGTAAAACTGTGAAGTCCAAAGCTACATCTCTCCCCACCAGCAAGTCCGTGACAAAAGCTGCACTCTCCTTATTTGATGATGATGACGAGGTAAGTACCACTTCCTGATACTGCCTGTGTGTGGGAACCCTTCTGCACAGCCTGTTGCAAATGCAGGAGGAAACATTCAGAAGTTAACCACACTAAGCTTGTAAACAGAGCTCTAAATTAGAGCCCTAAATCAATATTGCGTTATGTAGCAGTTCTGAGCATGAGGACAGCATTATGGAGGAGAGTGGTAGCAGGGACTCTTTTGAGTTTTTGGTGTCTTTTTAGTTTTGCAGCTAGTGCATGTCATCTCTGGACCTAAATAAGAAAGGTGTTATCCCTCTGATTGATAGGACTAGAGAACACTGAGCAATAGAATGTGTGAGAGCACCAGGAAGCTGTTTTATTCTGGCCTGTGATACCTGGCCACATGGATGACTTCTTGCTTCTCTTGTGTCATGGCTGGTGAATTCCTTCTTTCTCACTTTTCAGTGTGTGAGAGTTGTGGCTGCTAGTGTGGAAACTAAGGTTAGAGCACAATTTATGCAAGAAACTGAAAAAAAAAAAAATTGAATTAGTGTGTGCTTTTGTCTTTTCACTCACTTCCACACACCCTCTAAAGAGCTTTCAACTCTGGGCCAGCACCCTTCATGGTGAGTTAACTTACCCTATAATCTTAACCTAAGGCATATAGGAGGCCTGCTCAGAGCCATAAGTTAGGTGACTTCTGCAAACTCATGGTTAAAGGTTTTCTGTTTGAGAGGAGGCTGCTTCCAGCTCACCTTTCTGAATAAGGGCTATTCAGAAGCAACTGTCAGGGTGGTGAAGTATTTCGTGGTGTGGTAAGGTCTCTGGTATCTGCTGTGAAGGTTCTGTAATGAAACTGAAGTTCAAGTTCAGTGGAGAAAAGCATAAGTAAGTGTTAGGTGGTGAAGTGAAAATATATTTTTGTATAGTCTGATGCTTATATAACAACCTGTATAAATGTCTTCAGGGGAAAAACCTTGGTTCTTACCCAGTGGTAGTGGTTCAGCTTGCCTGTTCCCTGTCCTCTCAAAACAGGATTAATTTTCTATTTCATTATGTAGATGTAGAAACAGTGCCCCATTGTGTGAGCTGCTGTGCAGGAGAATTGCTGTGTGGTGGTTTTTTGGCTGCTTGTCAAGCCTTCTGGTAGAGAATCTGTGGGCCAAAACCAGGCTCTGTGTTTAAGGTTTGTGGTCTATTAAGTGGTGTGTGCACAGAATTCCCTGTACTGCAATACTGTATCACCCTTGAAATTGTCTTCAAAAGGGTTCACAAAATACCATTTCTCTATCCTGCTTAACTGAGAAGTGGATGGCAAGTGTCTTGCATGCTGGTGACTTCTCAGTAAGTTCTTCATTATGGCTTTGGCTTTTTATATATATGTATTTTTAAATTCTATTTTAAGGATCTCTTTGGTGTAGTACCTGTGAAGAAGCAACAGGAAAAACCCTCGGAAGAGAAACCAAAACAGCCAGAGCCACTCAAGAAAGCCTCCAGCTTATTGTTCAGCAGTGATGAGGAGGTACTGAGGAGTAAGATTTGGTTAAAGGGGATTCCTGGGCTTTATGCTGGGCAAAGCATAAAACTGTTGAGATGGGAACCATAGTTAAACTCTGCTGTGCCCACATGCCATGCCTGCCCTGGTACTGTGACTTGCTTGCAGCTGAGAAAGCTGATTCTTGGCCTGAGAAGTCATATGGAAGAGAAAAATCCATATTTTCAATGTAATTTATAGAAAATCAACAGCAAATGGAGGCTGCTGTGAACAAATACGACCTAAAAATACCAAAAGGGAAAAATAAGTTTGCTCATACTGCTTTAATTTCTATAAGGAAAGTAGCAGTTCTAGATATGTGTTGAGCTTTTCTTGTATCTGGTGCTGTTTGGTGGTTTTTTTTGTTTGTTTGCTTGGGTTTTGGTGGAGCTTGTTTGCTTGGTTTTGTTTGTTTTTTTCATCTAGGGATGGGAAAAGTGAAACACAAATAACTAGGGTTCCCAGAGAGCAGCCCTCTTCTAGAGATGGATTAAGTGTTGTCTTGCATCTTAAATGAAAGCCAGAGACACTAAGTAAATTAAAAACTTGTCTGGAGAGTCACTGAATTCACTCATAGGAATAGGATGCAGACTGTTCTTAGCCTTCTTACCCCTCAAAATTACTCTTTTGTGTAAATTTATTTTTATTATCTGTTCTGTAATTGCTTACTTAGTGGATACTAGTAATATCTTTAGATGCACTTTTATCTTAATGTAGAATAAATCAAATTTATACTTCAACATGCCTGTAGTCCCTTTCAGAAAGGGGATAAACAGAGATGGAGAATGGGGCAAAGATGGGAATAAGAAAACATACAAGCCAGAAATTTTTTCTAAGCCCAGAAATGTTTCCTTCTAATGTAGATTTTTTTTTTTCCCCCTGTTCAGTGGGTAGGCTTGATAAAATGCCAGCTTCAGAGTAGGGGGGAAAGTACTGTGGGTTAAAGTTGAGGAAGTGTGCAGCATCATGCACTCTAGTGGTGAAGTGTCTTGTGTGTGGGTGTTGCATGGTTGATTTGTTTGGTTTTTTTTCCCCCATACATCAGAGCTTGCTAATTATTTAAGTGACTCAGATCAGGTTCTGCTGAGTGACATCAGTCCTGTGACTACAGTTGATTCTGACCTCAGTTGTCAAGAGCAGCTATAGTAGTAAAGTGTGTGTACCCTGTTTTGCTGGGGAAATACCAAAAGGTGGCCAAGCCCTCTGCAAAGCCTGAGCGATGTCCGGCTGCAGGAGCTAACATAAAGGCAGGAACATAAAATAGTAGAGAGATGCAAGGACTGCTAATACGCTGAAGTGTTTCTCATTGTAGAGAAGATGGGAAGGTGGCTTTGACCAAAACAAAATGAAAACATAAGGGTCTTTATTTTTAAGGAACACTGGAGTGTCTCCAAGCCAGCTAAACTCCCTTCTGAAAACGACCGAAAAGAGGACCCTGCAAAACCAGCTAGCACTGTCAGTCAGCCTAAACCTCTGAAGAAGACAAGCCTCTTTGAGGAAGAGGATGAGGAGGATCTATTTTCAATCACTAAAGAGAGGTGACAGTCCAGGGTGGGGGGACACAACACGCAACACATCACTTGCATGCTGTAAGTGTTGTTCCTTGTTACTGCTGCTGAGGAGGAAGTAGAGTTGGAATGGGCAGGCTGGGTTCTCTTACCTCTTTTGTACCTCTGGTGGATCACTGTCCTTGCCACCACTGAACTGGGCTTTCCGTTTCCATGCTTGCAATATAAAATCCTCTTGATCTCTTTTTATTTTCACTTCTGCAGAAAGCTGTGCAGACAAGAATGGAGGGTGGGAAAACTGTTGAGGCAGTGAGGAAGCTGAGTCCTGTATCTGGGACCGCTTGCTGCAAGTGATTGTCCTAAGTGATAATTTTTGAATAGATGCAGTGCATGGCCTCTGAAACTTTTGCACCTAATGTTCTGTTTTCTCCTCACTCTCATTGCAGCCAGAGAAAGCCACAGAAGGTGTCGTTGTTGTTTGAAGATGATGCTGTTAATGGAGAATCCCTCTTCAGCTCCCAATCCACGCTACTTCCTTCAGCTTCTACGGCTGCAGTGGTACCTCCCCTTTCTTTTAAAAATGATGTACAACACCTAGTCTTTATGGTCTATCTTCCTTGTTAGATACTGAATGTAAGGCTAACTTGTTCTATACAATGGTAGTTCTAGCAAATTTGGAACACTGGAATGTGTTCAGCAAACTGAACTCTTTCATGTAACTTCTTACTACCATCAGCCTAATAGAGATTTCAACATTTTCTTGACCACTAGCCTAAAATTTGATTTGTGCTAAAAGCCCTCCCTGAAGATGTTTTGAGAGCTCTCAACCAGAAAATACTGTTAAAAGGAACAAATGGCTTACTGCTGACTGTGAAGCTACAGCTTCACCCTTTGTGTCACTTAAACCCAAGCTGATTCAGATGTGTCTATACATTTCTTACTGCCTCCCTCTTGAGGCTGCTTTTGCTATCCTCTGTCTTAGTAGCTTAGCCCATAGTATACTGCCTGTCTGGTTGTGCTTTGGAGTTGAGAGTAGGACTTGCAAAAGCTTAATGCAGCTGTATCTGCAGTGGGAGTTCCTGTAGGTGTGTGCATGCCACCTCTCCTTCCCCCCCTTGCCTTTCTGCTTACCAGGAGAACAGTTGTCACAGCCCATAAAGATAATAGTCTTGGGAGTAGAAGAAAAAACAAGCAAACCACAGTCTAGCTGCTGGCAGTCACAGGCGACTGTGCACCAACCAGACAAGATTCCCAGGGCATCTGCTCTAAGCTTGCAACTGCTTTCTGGCACTCTTCAGCAAGATTTGAGAGCCTATAACACTAGAAATCAAGTGACAAAACAGAATGTCCCGTGGGAGGAAAGTAGAAGTCGAGCGTGTTGCCAGTGTCCTGGAGTCCTGCAGAAGGCAGACTGAGACTCTGCTATCCCACAGCAGTGTATGCTTCTGACATACCCATTAATTTTGTGTCACCAACATTCTCTTAATTTTGCAGGAGAAAGTAAAACCAGCACAAGCACCACCTTTCTTTAATGAAGAAGAAAAGGAGGAAAAGGAAGATTTGCCCTATAAAGCAGCAAAGTCTAACCGGGTAGAAGATACGTTGTGGCGTTTAGAAGAGCATGAAGCCCTTCCTGTGCCTAGAGGAGGAGATGTTGTGGGGGAGCAAACAACAGAAAAAGTGAGATTTTCTTACATTAATATGAAGTCTGGTAAAGGTTCAGTTTAAAAGAAAAAAAAAAATACAAACAACCATCCAACAGTGCTGCTCTGGGATAGAATTCTTTCTCTGCGGTCCCTCTTCTATTGCCCATGAGAGAATAACTGTCTCCATTTAGCAAATCACTTGTCAGTCAAACAGCAAATTGATTAAATTACTTAAATTCCACGTTGTTTCCCAACTGATATACATGGGAGAAAATTGGGAGGGGGTGTTTGGGGATGATGGGAGATGTCTGTTTTGTTCTTCTTCCAGATATGGGTTGGCCAATCCTCATTCCAATGAACAGAGCTTTCCCTTAAAGGGCCTATCTTAATGTGTAGGCTTTGTTTCAAACTCAGTAACTCTGTTTCAACATACTGTCTGATGAGTTCTAGATGGTATTGGTAGCTGTGGCTTTCAGGATTGTGAATTTCTCCTGGGCAATGCTGTTACAGGACACTACTGAACTGTATTATTGAGTATGTAACTGAAGAAGCTTCAGCAGAATTTAATCTTGGGCATGGTCTTACTGAGTGATTGTTAGGGAATTACTAGCTGATGACTTTACAGAGTAGTTATGTTCTGCACTTTCCTGGCCATATTCAAGGTTCAGGTAGTGCTGTCCACTCCAGAGAATCCCAAGTTGCATGAACTAGGTACCTCAGATGATGGCAGAGCTGCTGAATGCAGTCTCAAGAGTGCAAATGCAACCTGACACATGGACGAGGAGGAAACTTTATGGAGGAAGCTGCTTATCAACAGAGCTACAGTGCAGGGTACGGGAGGAAAGTTCTGTTTCCTTCAGGGCCATAAAGTGTGTTCTCTTTATCTAGTGTCTCTTGTTAATCTGCATGTTGCTATTCTGTGTACCTGAGAAAAATGAGTTGAATGTAGTTGTCTGCCTGGTAATGGGTTTCAGAATTCTGACAGGTGCTGGAATTTAACCAAGAAAACTTAGCGGGTTTTTAGAAAAACCTGAACTAAATAACAGGCTGACATGTCAATTTCTTAATTTGCAGCCTTTTGCAACAACATCCTCAGAGCCAGCCAGCAGTTCTGATCTGTTTGCAACATCCCCACCAGCTCTGGAGAAAGATATCAAGACCCGAGCTAAGAAAGTGTTAAGCTTGTTTGAGGAGGAGGAAGAGGAGAGACAGGAAGATGATGATGGTATCAAAAATGCACAGAAAGAAATTAGTGTGGTAAGTCCAGAGAAGTTCTTGAACACCACAGAACAGTATTTCTAACTCTACTCTTCCAGGCACGGTTTTGTTTTTACTTTTCTTTCTCTTCATGTCACGGAGGCTAGTCTTTCTCTGTTTCCAAACATGCAGCTTCTTGAGTGAGAAATTACTACTGCTCTTCCCCACGATCCTGAATCCCTTTGTAAATTCTTCCATTGCACTAAATTGAAAGCATTTTTCTACATGCTAGTATGAAAAGAAATTCTGTACAGATGTTTTGGTGCAGCTACTTGACATCTGCTGCACAGGACTGATTCCACAGTTACCACTCAAGGTCAGAGGTACTAGGAAGTAGAAGGGTGTAGAATTTGAAGCCTTGTGGTTTATCCCTTTGTTTTCTTTATATTGTTGCAGTTTGCTTGGTGAGTATATGCCTGGAGACTTAGCTCCAGCAATAATAACTTTAACTCTACGTTTACTTCTGTTTTTCAAATATGTGTGTTCCCTTTTTCAATAAAGCCTCCAGTTGCCATATTCTTGCTGTTTGGCTTTCCTGGCCTATGTACCATCAAGAGGGAGATCGAATCTTCAGTAGCCATGTTCTTGAATACAGAGCAATGTTTTTGTTTCTACATGATGCAGATGTACCTTTTTTTTTTCCCCCTGCAAACTTGAAATTATGTCAAAAAGCACATACCATGTACTACAGTATACCACAAGGTTTTGTCATCTTAGCATTGAAAACTTACTTTACATGGTCACACTAACAGCTATACACACTTTATTCAGAAGTCCCTCAAGGTTTTCTCATCTTAGTGTGACCATGTAAAGTAAGTTTTCAATGCTAACAGCTATACACACTTTATTCAGAAGTCCCTGGAGCTGGATGAAGTAGATGGCTCTTGGAGAAAAATCCCTGTTTATAGCTGCTTCTGGGTTAAAATGGATTCTTAGCTCAAGTGCTTATTTACTTCTTGTAAATGTATGCACTGTTTTGTTTTTTCAGGGGGGAGGCACATTGTGAGATGGTTGCAAGAAGCATCATGTGTCTTGTGCATTTGGGAAGATAAAAATCCTTTCAGATCTTTCCTTCAAAGCACTTAGTATTTTACATGTAACAGTCACAAAATGATTAACATGCTGAAATGCATAATAATGCAAATGTCAGAATAGGTAATTTAGGAACTTAATCTTCTTGATATGCAAACCTGAAAAGTGCTATTTTCCTCGTTTATCCCAACTTAATATGTTTCATGTGTGGATACTTCTAGATGTGCATTGGGTTTTCCTGTATCTAGGCACAAACAGCAATTCTAGTGCTCCAAAAATGTGGCCTGACTTGATATAAAATTAATGCTGATGCACAAAGAGGCTGAAAATGGAGCAGTATTAAAAATCATAGGACAGACTGTATGGGCCAAAAATGGTGTGCTGGCAGCTAGCTTTAGTAGGTGGCCTTTTGGGGCTGCTGGAAACTTGGAAAGGGAAGGGGAGAATCGGGTTTTATTTGTATGACTACTGCTCCTGCTGCTTGGATTTTGACTCTGGTATTATGTTACTGGACATTCAGTTATGCTCTTAAGAGGCTTCCTTTCATTTGAGTAGGTCCTGAAAAGACAACTAGGTAGTAAAACATAGATACTGACCTTCATCTAGACATTCATTGGGACCTTTGCTTTTTGAAAGTCAGACCTGGGTGCATACTGTGACCATGATCATAGAAAGGCATTGGTTTGGGTGTTCAAGCAGCTGATAATGGTTGTTTTGCCAGATAGTGGAGGGGTGATAAAATGATATATTTGACTGTCAACTCTCCCTCCCGCTAGCAAATTTGAAAGTATGAGGTCTTGCCAAAGGCAGACAATATGTTCTGTTCTTCATTGTGGGAATGTGTTTGCTTTAATAGGAGTATAGGGAACCTAGCAACAATAATAGCTTAACAGACCTTCAACTTTAGGATTTAAAAAAAAAATATTTTATTTTTTCTTCCTTAGGAAGATAAATAACCAGATTTTCTTCCTCTCACTTCTGTCCTGCCCCTTCAGCTGAAAAATTCAAGGCATAAAAGTCTTGCTGAAATACAAACCTTACTGTACATTCATGACAACATACTGAAAGCTCTTTTTTTTTTTTAAATTCCTTCCAAGGAAGCTTTACAAGTAAATAGCAGTGGCTGGATCTCAGATCACCAGACACAGACACATTTTGATTAATATCTCCTCATCAAATTGAACTGTGAATGCAAATGTTTACACTGTAAGTTTTGCAAATTTGGTTGAAATAAAACATATAACTGGCAGTTAAAGTTGTATTTTTGTTACCAGGGTTGTAGTGTAGCCTCAGGTAAATTGTAACCTGTCTTATTACTAGGCAAATAACCTCCTTAAAAAGGGATTTTCTTACTGTGTGGACCTTTCTCCTCTTCTTCTAGGCTTCTGGGAAAAGCACTCGGCCCAAAAGCACTGGAGTGTTTCAAGATGAAGAGCTCCTCTTCAGTCATAAACTTCAGAAGGACAATGATCCAGATGTCGATCTCTTTGCCAGCCCCAAGAAGTCGATGGTGAGCTCAGTGTCCTCCTCTGAACCTGCGATTTAAACACAGTCTGTCAAATGTGCAGCCCAACAGTGTTCCTTGTTGGAACACAGGTTAGAAGTCGCTGATTTCCAGGGAGGTCAAAGTGCTGATGTCAGTTCAGGCATCATGAGCTGAAAGAGAGATGCTTTTGATCTATAACACATCTTTTCTTTGTCCTTTGTCTCTTTAGTCTGCGAACCGTATCCTGAAGCCATCACCTGGAGGAGGGCTTTTTGGAGATGATGATGAGGATGATCTCTTCAGTACCCCTAAACCAAAGCTTCCGGTATCTGTTCCTCTACTGTAAATGGCTTATATAAAAGACAGTGGAATGAAATGTATGCAAGGGATTTTTTCCATATGTATTCCTGAGAAATGAAGTGACTTCTCAAGTCTTTTTTGAGAGAATAGAAATGGCCGTTGTGACCCTGAAGACACAGGCAACAAACAAATGCATTAGGTCTCCCAAAGCTGGGATGAAAGGATTGGATTCTTTTTCTTTTTTGTGTATCCCTGGGACTGGCTTACATGTAAGAGAAAACTTGTGAGCAGAAATCAGTCATACAGAGTTCATATTGTTTAGTTGTTTTATTGTTAAACTTCCTAATGTTGCTTCCCTAGAGTTCATGCATGACTGATGAGCCTTGCTCTGTGACTTATGTCATTAAAAATCTCTGCAGGATGGTTTGGTTTAAGGTAATGAATGCAGTATTAAAGTCCATATGATCACTGGATTGCTTTTAGAGGGCAAGAAGTTGCAGTAATGAACTAGACTATACTACAGGTAATCTGTGCTCAAAATCTAGCGTACATTCTAAACTGATACTCTGTATGTGTTTAGCTTAATCAAATTGAAGCCAGCTTTTCCTTCAGTCTATTTTCATGTCTGTAGCTGGAAGTTAGAAAACTGGCAATAGTTCCTGGAAAGAGTTTCTTTGAGGACTGTGCAAGGGGTGGTCTTAAGTAATTAGTGCTTGGCAGCTATATGTGGAGCCTGTTTGCTTGAAAACATAAAATTAGCAGTGTTCCTTTGTCCTTTTCTTTTCCCTGCTGTTCTTTGCATGAGGAGATAGAGTGAAAGTCATTGTTTATCATTAGCATAGACAGCAAAGTTCAAGGTAGGCTAAGGGAATGGAGAAGTGAAAGGCCCTTGTCAAAAGGCAATGCCTTCTATGTATTGAAGAGTTGAAAAATGTGGCTGTTTTTCTTTTCAGATAGAAGTGAGATTTTAAAAAGCTTTGCTTGATTTTTTTTTTTTTTTTAATATGCAGACCATGTTTCTTCCAATTCATGTTGACTTGTGCTCTTAATGCTTTCAGAAAATAGCTGAGAAGAAAACACTTAAGGCCAGTACCAGCCCTCCCATGGAGAGCAGTAATTTTCTAGAAAATGCTTTAAGTGCCAAACAAGATGAAGCTTTGAAGGCAGTAACCACAGAGGCAAGTACCTAAATCTTGTGTCGTGAACAGCATGGAAAGAAGGAGGAGATGTATAATTTTGTTTTAAATAAGTTTCTTGGAAAGTTCTAAACTAATGCCTAGATTCACTGGCTGCAAAGTGGCAAAGCATGGCCCAATTTGTCTTTGCCTATCAGCTGGTGCACTGTTAGCAGCAAGAAGTTTAAATGCTTTTGATACAGTGTTTTATTCATTGTCCACTCACTTATAAGGGCAAAGTACAAGGTAGTGAAGAACTACACCTCAGGTCCAGTTGGACTGAAAATGTGTGGCCATTAATTCTTCTGTGAAGTACCAGAGTGTCTGTTGGAGTGAATGTGATGTTTAAAGTATAGGCAGGCATTCTAAGAAAGGAGATCAGGGCATGCAGCACAAATCTGTGGCTGTTTACAACCTTATCTTGGAGACTTTAAGGTGAGCAAACAAGACTCCTGCTCTTGTCCTTAATCTTGCAGAGCCAATGGTCTCTGGGAGAGGCAGTCTGGATCTGAATTCTGGCTTGTGCCTCACCAGGGCTGCTCGTTGTGTTTCCATCCATAGGAGATCAGCTTTTCGGGTGGGGATTTTCAGGTTTTTTTTCTTCCCTGGGCTGAGGAACACAGAGCAAGTCTGTATGGATACTAATTGGGCTATTTTCCATTACAGCAAAGTATTGCTTGAAGTGTAGAACCATGCTTGTTTTCCTCTTCCCCCCTCCCCCCCTCCCTTTTTTTTTTTTTCCTTTGTACCTACTGACAGCCTGGGATAGGAATGATCTCAGCCTGTTAGAGATCCAGCTGAACACCCCATGCATTACAGTGGAGAATGATCTCCTCAGACACTAGGATTCCTGTGTCATTCTATCAAGACACCCGAAGCAGCATCCTAACCCTTGCAAACCCTCAGTTACTTCAACCTGGCTAGAGCAGCTCTGACTGCTCAGTCACACCACCAACAACAACACAGCCTAGCTCACAGAACTGTACAGAGTACCAACTTGTGGAGGGCAAGCTCTGGGAAGAGCACCTTAACTGATTTGGTTCATCCCTGAGGCCTAGAATTCACCCAGGTTTTCGGACCAAACAACTGGCCTTGCTCTGTTAGTCCATTTCTGCTTTCTAAAGAGGTGCACTTGCTTCTCTGAAGCCACTTTCCTTGCAGGCTGCAAGGTACCATTCTGTAGCCCTCTTGGCTTCCACATGGGTTCATTTAAGTTTGCTGCTCTGTTGCAGCTAGCTGCAAAGAGAAAAGTTACTTATATCGTAATCTGACAGCATGTCTTAGGGGAGGGCTTAAGAAAGGAGGGAGGGTGGCTGTCACAATGTGATTTGACTGGTGGTGTGTGTGACCTGGAGAAGATGGAATTTGCTGCGTTACTATGGCAAAGTGTAATATTGGGTAGAAGGAAGCTGGAATGAAATGTGAGAATAAAGATGGGGCTGCAGTGTGGGGAACTGAAGCTGAAAATTGAGTGACTAGCTCTGGCAATAGAATGTGATAATGTATCTTCAGAAAAACTTGGTAAGCAGTGAGCTGCTTTCTGTACGTGGGTTAAAATGCAAACTGTAGTCTGGTTGATAATGATTTGTCCACTTGTTTAATCCAGTGTAATTTTGTGCAGAAATCTACAGATCCTGCTCCCATTAAAACCAAAGAACCCTCATCTCGGATTGGAAAGCTACAAGTAATTAACTTTACTGGCATTTTAACTTGCAAAAAATAAACTCTTCTTTGCCTCACTGATGGCTCTCCCTGAAACAAAATATTTTTACTTCCTTACCTTACTCGTGCTATTTTTTTTTCAGATGGCGTATTTTCTTTTACTACTTCTTTATTGCATGTTTAATACTGTTTTCCCTTCCCATTTCAGACCTGACTCTGAGCAGCACTATTTACTTTATTTAGGGGGCAGAGGGTAGGATCCTCTTTGTCCTGCTATTCTTTTCAGCACTGTTCTATACGTAGAAACTTTTAGGGGTATGTTCAGAGACTTTTAGACCTTTGGTGTTTTGGTTATGTCCCTCTTCTGGCACGAAATGACTAAGAACTGTCTATGTGACAGTATTACTCTTAATGAGAGAACTGTTGTCCTCAGACAGGATACTGAGCTAAGTAGGTATTCGGTCTGCCATAATGGGGCCATGCTGTTCCTGAAGGTCTTATACAGAATAATAGTGTTGAGCACTCCACAGGCTTAGTGAGACAGGGGACATGGGAGACACAGAAGTGTGTAGTTGCAGGAAAGGCCAGGCACTTGAAAAGTAGAAGTTGAATGCCTGCATATTCTGGTTCTTGCTGCTTCTCTGGAGCCATACTTGCTCTTAAGCAGTATTAACATGATCTCTTTCTGTGTGTATGTTTTTATTCTCTCTGTTTTGTAGGCTAATTTAGCTATTAACCCTGCAGCCTTACTACCTGGTGCGATGCCTAAGATCTCCAGTGTAAAGTCCCCTCTGCCAGTTGTGGACACTCCGTTGCATGAGCCCAAGAATGTACAGAACAGTGAAGCCTTCTCTGCTGCAGGGAACAATGAAGAGCTAGGTGTAAGCTTTGATCAGCCTATGCAAGCGGATACCTTGCACAGCGCCAATAAGGTAACCTTGGTGTTTAGGAGGATAGAAAGGGGAATTAGAAACAGTCTGTCCTCGTGTCCATTTCTGTGGACCACTGAAAAGAAAGTCAAGCCTACTACATTCTTAGCTCTGTAAAGGGACTTGGGCATATGCCTAATTCTGTGCCATTTTAAGGCACATGTGTGCGTTCCCCAAATACAGTGAGTTTTCTGTGTAGGTTAAAGGTGTTTTGACATAGCATCTTGTCCTGTCCTAGGAGATGCCACACTGAAAACCATAAACAAAGCACCTCTCTAGGCTTAACTGTAGAATATGTTATGGACAGCTGCTGTTGTTCATTTTAGCATAGTGATGATGCATGTTTGTTTACAGAGGTAATCCCAGAAGAAGGATCTCAGTAACTATACAGTGAATGTTTTTTTGTGGCTGAGGTTACATGTTTTCATTTTGGCATGTTATTGCTTCTTGAACCTTTCAAATTTGCAGAGGGGCTTCTTTAAAAGCAGCAGAGAATGAACTGCAGCAGGCTATGCATAAAATTAAATGAGATGGAATGGAAAACATAAGTGGTCATGGTTTGGACAGACTAACTGCACCACAGAAGCCCCTTGATTAGCAAACTGTCAGACTGACAAAGGTGTTACCTAAAGCCAAGGGGCCAGAGTGACTTGCTGATCTGTCTTGCAATGGCCTACTTGTGAGTGCTGGTGGTTTTGTACCCTAATTTTACCTACTGTGGATTGACCAGAGGGCAACAAATCAGAAGTCTGGGGTTATTTTTCTGAACCTTGCCACAAACTACTTCAAGCTTGAATGTCCCGCTTGTCCATCTTTCTCCTTTCTGAAAAAAGGGGAGAATGGATGATACAGAGCTAATGATGTCTGAATGAAGGATGTCTAATGCTTCTCCCTGTAACCTAAATTAGTGTCTGCTGAGCAGTCCTTGCTCAAGGTTTCCAACTGAGCATTTGTTTAAATGTACATGTAGCTGTTAAGCTGTTAAACCAGAGCTGTGAGCAGAACTCGTAGTTAATTCAGTTTCAGGTTGCTGGTACGAAATGGGTGATGTGTGTTACTTGCAGAGTTGTGAAGGCAGACAAAGTGCTACAAGGAAGCATAACAGAAATCCTAACCTGTCTTCTGTGAAGTGTGATGGTTCTTTTCCTTCTGTGTAACCCTGCTCTGCTTTTACCCCTTCCTTGCAGACCAGGATCAAGGTTACAGGAAAACGAAGACCTCCTAGCAGAATGGCCCGGCGGTTGGCTGCCCAAGAGTCTGAAGAGGGTGAGGAGGTGGATAGTGCTAAAGAACCAAAATTCTCTCTACCAAAACAGACATCGGCAGTAGTGAACATAAAGGAGTCTCTTGCTACTGAAGCAGAGTCCAAGGAAAATGGCTTTTCCTCTGGCTTGTCGCCACCAGCTCATGGCAGTGTTTTGTCTGCTCGGACAAACAAACTCCTTCCTCCAGAGTCCTCAGACCAAGGGGATGATCTGTTTGAATCAGAAGACCTTTTTGCAAGCAGCTCAACATCCAGATCAGCTGCACAATCAAAGTTAAAGGAAGGAATGTCGGACAGTGTGGCTAACAAACCTGTCAAGGGCAAGGAGAAAAAGCCTGATCTGTCTGTTCTAGGTGATCAAGACAGCACTGATCTCTTCCAGCCTGTAGAGCAAAAATCTTCAACAAAAAACAGCCCTATACCTTTTTTGGAGGAAGAGGAAGACTCTCTCTTCACCTCTCAGAAAACTGGAAAAAAGGAGTTGAAATCTGCTGTCCAGCAAGCTGTTGACCTTACTGCCCAAGATATCTTTGAGGTAATGGTTGAGCCTGCCACCTTGGTCTTTTTGATCCGTAGGGCCTTATGCAGACACCTGTCCTTAGACACAGGCTTAATGGAGGCTGCCGAGTAGGATGGCGTGTGAAGGATAGGTTGTGATGTAAACTGTCAATCATGCTCTGCTGCTGGACAATAAAAACTCCTTCTTTGATTGCTCACCTCCGTATTAGCAAGAGTGGATTAAAAGGCAGAGCCTTAACACATGTGCTGTGACAGCATACCTATGCTTACAACCTTTTTCAGAGTAATAAAGTATTTGGTTCTTATCTGTTAGCTGTCTATTCAGTGCACAGCAGCTCAAATAACTATTTAAAACAAATAAAATTGGCAGGCTGTGTAGTTGATACAAGCCTCTGTGTGCTGTATTTTACCTGTGCAAAATCCCACACTAAAGGCATTACTGCCAACTCCTCTACAGGGAGAAGGAACTCAAACTTTCTGGGTTTGAGAAGCCCCAGGCTGACAGTCTTCTAAGTATCTCAGCTGCTTTGTGCAGATAATTTGACTGTTCTCTTGAAGCGTGTTGTATGTTGATGATTTCTCTGTGCTTTTCTCCAAGGATGATATATTTGCTACTGAGGCAATTAAACCAATGAACAAAGCAAAAGAGAAAATGCCAGAGACTAACCTGTTTGATGACAACATTGATATTTTTGCGGATCTCACTGTAAAACCAAAAGAGAAGACCAAGAAAAAGGTGGAACAAAAATCCATATTTGATGATGATATGGGTAAGCATCTAAAGCCTTGCTGCTCATCTCATAGTATTAGCCCGAGCTGCATTCATCAGAGATGTTTTAGAATCCTTTCTTTTCTTTTAACTTTTCAACTTCTCTGAAATATCTGGTCATCTTTTGGATTTTAACCTTGGATGAAAACTTCCTAGATTTGCAGAACTAGCACAATGTTTAAAAGGTTTAGGAGAGTGTTTAAAATTCTCCTGAGGGAAGGAATAGTTAATTCCTGTAGGGATTTTCTCACCTGTGGGAATTAGAAAATTACTCTTGTCTGGAGTAAGAGACTAATCTCACGTTATGACTCTGGGACACATTTTCTGTTTCAGTTTGCACTGCTTCAATTTTTCATTTGAATCACTAATATGAAGAAATTAACATCTCTTCCCAACCCAGCTTCACTATTGTATTGACTTCCTTGGAGCCCATAAGATTTTGTTTACATCCATGTATACTTAAAACAAATTACAATTACTACACCTGAGAGCAAAAGTTTGCCCTATATAATTTGTTGAAAAATCAGCATATATTAATGTGAAATGATGCAAAGTATACTCCTTTCTTATTTTTCATCAGTGGAGGTATCAAAAGTCATTTGATTCCTGACTATATCTGTCTGTTCTCAGGCTTTTCATGTTTACAGCTCTTCATTGGGCTTGCATGTATTTCTTTTCCTCTACGACAAAAAATATTCTTCTCTAGCTTTGATTCTTGTCAGACTTTGTTCTTTCTAACCTATTCAAATTGAATCTGACTTATCAATGTTTTCTGTGGACTGCTGTTAAGAATTCCAGCCTGATGGAGTGACCTGACTGAAGTGTGTGAATGTGTTAGAAAACTTGCCAGAGAATGAACACCTGGAGATTTCAAAACCTTCTTGACTGACAGTAAAAAAAACAAACACACACAAACAAAACAAACAAAAAAACACAAAACCACAAAAAAAAACCCCAACCAACTGCAATGTTTGTGGACAAGGTATTTGAAATGTGTATTGGATGATTTAAATATTTTAATCATTTAGGTTTTTTCATATACCCAATAGGAAATGAAAGAATTTCCCAAACAGCTACTCTTTCCAAATATGTCAGTGCAAAAATCCAGAGCTCATGTTGAAAAAAACCAGTTGTAGAGTGCCACTTGGGAAATCAGCCACAACAGAACCTGTCATTTGTGCTTCCACTTTTGACATCTGCTCTGGCGCTAGAGCTTGTTGTTAGTTGTTGCATCTGATCTTGCACACCCATAGCATCTACAGCACCCTGTATCTGATAGACTTCATCTTCCTGGAGAGTGTTGACCGTTTTGTGGTGCAGCCATATGTATGCAGCTTCTTACTGCCCAAAGCTATGGAGCTCCTGAACACCAACAGGAGTGTAAGGAAGGTGCCCGAAGGTGAAGATGACCTGCAGGTAGAGTAGGAGAACTGGCACTTGCTTGCTGCCCAAAGCTATGGAGCTCCAGAACACCAACAGGAGTGTAAGGAAGAGATGCCTGAAGGTGAAGATGACCTGCTGGTAGAGTAGGAGAACTGGCACTTGCTTATGCTTCAGGCTAAGGGTTGGCTTAAGCACTTTATCAGGGCTGTATGTTGTTGTCTTAGGAGATCCTTTCTGCTGCAGATAAAACATAAAGTGGGAGCCGTTTGGAGGCAGGCAGGGGAGAGGCTGCAGGCTGCTTTCACTTATCCTACCACAGCCTCTAGTTGCTATTTTGCATTTGTGTTGGGCTTGTAGTGGCAGTATTAGAAATACTCTTTCTCAAGTCTTTGTCTTCCTAGCCTCCTCAGTGACTTTTTGGCTCATTACACACACATCGTGATGTCACCTCTGCCCGTCTGTAAAATGGTGACTGAGCTTTCTTGTGCGTTGACAATTAGTGTTTTCCATGGTCAAAACTCTCCTATTCCTTAAGCCTTGTTATAAAATGGGAGTGATACCTCTGCTGCTTATGGCACTCACTGTACCTCCCCTCTGGTGTGAAGCTAATCCATGTGATAGGTTCTTGCTTTGGAGTGATGCCAGTAGGGGATTACTCTGTTTTACTGCCTTTCTAAACTGCTCTTGTGCTGAAATGCTGTCCTGGATTATCCCTGTGTAATCCCTGTGATCAGCACAGTCACAGACACGTGCTGGAGTGGAAGAAGTAGCGTGAAGACAAAGGCAAGCACATTGTGATAGACCACTTCATGCTTAGCCTCTGCTCAAAGTCAGGATACATGCTGAAGGCTGAAATACTAGTTTTTATACTCGGGACTAGTACATGGCTATTAACCTCTGTGTAAGACCTGTGTTTTCTTGATAGCTGGTATTGAACCCTACTGTCAAGGTTTAGTGTCAGAGCTGTCTGCTAAACCTCTAACAGATGCTCTCTGTTAACCCTTCTCCCTCCCAAAAAAAAATAAGGGGGAGAGAGACTCAAACCAGGACAGCTACTTATGCTGTCCTTGTGAATCACTAGTGTTCCACATATCTCAGTCTCGTAAATTATTATTATTTTTTATCCCCTCATAATCCAACAGTGTTCCACATATCTCAGTCTTGTAAATTATTTTTTATCCCCTCATAATCCAACTGCAGTATCCTAAATTTAAAATCTTAATGTATAGGCAGAGATACGCTGTTGTGTGTGCCCAGGAAACCTCAGGGCAACACTTGGGCACGTGTATGGTAGCAGCTTCATCTCTCCTCATGAGTACAGTTCTAAGCAACACTAGCCACAGCAAGAACTGCAGGTCTGTGAGCTCTGCTGCTGGCACAGGGTATCTGGGTTGGAAGGTTTAATTTCTGCCTGTTGTTATGCTTCAGGAGAGAACTCTGCCTCAATAGCAACATGGTATTTTTCCACTTTGTGGTCCTAGTTATCCATAACAGAAATGCTTGTATTGAGGAAGGTGATGGGAGATCTTGATTCAGGACTGCAGACAGACTTCTGGAATATTCAGGATGGCTGCTGTAGCTGCCTACCTCCTTGCATCTTAGCCATGCTCTGTTATCAAGTGATTTATGCTGTGTTCTTACTGTGCTGTAGATTAGAACTCTCCTACGGCTAGCGGATGTCACAACAGTAGTTACTAGCAAGTATCATCTCTTCCTGTCCTGATTTTCTTTGGCAACAGCCTCACAGCTCTCAGATCTCTCAGGTTCCTCGAATGCTAGTGCTCTAGATAAGAGGGATGTTATCTGGCACTTCCACGATGGAATTTATTGTGGAGATTTAATTTATTAGTACTTTTCAAACTTACAAGAGCTTGAACATGTTATAAAATACAAGTGTTATGCTGCTCTACTGAGAAGAAAAAATATTCTTAATTTGACTTACAGCTAACAGCTCCCACACATGTCCTTACAAATGCATCTAGAATCGCAAGCAGCAGGAAAGCATTTGTTTATCACAGAATGTCCTTGGCAGTCACTTCACATTAAAATCTTTTTTTTTTTTTCCCCCTTTAGATGATATCTTCTCTAGCAGCCAAGTCAAGATACCCACTCCTAAAAGCAAATCTCCCCAAGCAGCCTCAGAAACAAAATCTGAAAGCAAGACACTGAGCACGTTCGATGACCCACTGAATGCCTTTGGAGGACAGTAGCCAAGGGAAGTGTGTTGCAGAGAGAAGACCTTCCCTGTGCCCTGCCCAGTACTAATGCTCTGGATTCTCTAAGCCAGTCGAGCTGAAGTGAGATGGCTGTGGATATTTAAATAACTTTACCCATTTTAAATGGTTAGTATTCTCTTCTGCTGGGTCTAATGCACTAAATGATATATTTTTTAAAGATGACAGTAACCTCCTGCTATCTTGTTTCCATGGTGCCCGGATGAACATAGCCTGTGCAATACCTGCAATGAAGTAATCTATTATACAAAGTATAGTTTGTTTTATTGAACAGATCTATAGATAAAAGAATTGATAAATAGTAAAATGAGTCTGTTAAACCAGGTCTGTCTGTATGGCTGTCTGTCCTCTTTACCACTTGCTAAGGACATCTGCATCATGACTTGAAAACAACCAAAACCACTACCAGGCCTTCTCTGGGTCAGCTGCCAATCTAGTAAACTAATGTTAAGGTAAGGCTGGGTTCTTTTATCACATACAGCTTCTCCTCTTATGTAATCAAGCAGTTAACAAATCTTAGTGCAGGCACCAGATAGAGATAAGGCACTTCATATTGGCAGATAAAGTGGTTATAAAAATAAAAATGGTTAAAGCTTCTCTGCCAGAAAGAATGTTCCAGATGAGCACCTAGTGCTCCATGAAAGCAACAGAAACCTAACATTGTATGCCGTTCAAGTTGTAAGCTACTAAAAGATTTTCACCTGCCTGGATTTGCCAAAGTTTTGCAAATAACACTTTCCAGGAAGTCCATCTGTACCGACCGCATGTGGTCACTTGCAGGTTGGCAAGCACAGGTTAGTGCAGAGGTGCATCTGCCCAAGGGTTTGCCCTCTGCTTTCCTTTCTCATCTGTAACACATGCTAGGCTGTACAGGAGGGTACTATTTGATGGAATCCCTCCAACTGTCCAGTGTGTTTGGCTTAACCTTCTTGCTTAGTGTATATCTTAGACTGCCCTTCCAGAACCTATGCCATTAACTGTACTTGATGCCCAATGACAGACACTTGCATTTACTCTGCTTATATGCACACAGAAAAGCATAATTGCAGGAGGATCAAATACTTCTTGTATTTTACCAGTGACTGCCTGCAATTCTGACTTTAAAACTAGATGCACTGTTCTTATGATAGTGATGTACTACTTTATCTTCAACTTCTAAGACTGTTCTGCTCTCTGTGAATTTAAAGCATGTGCTCAGAGGACTTCTATGAGAGCAGTTCCCACTTTCACTGAAGCCCTTGTTCTGAGACATCTGCTTGTCTCTTGTTTCTCAAGTTGGATTTACTTTGAGGCACAGTAAATACTACATCCGAAGCATCTAACACTAATGATGGTAAAGCAGAAGGAAAGGTTGGAAGGGATAAAGGAGAAGAAACATTGTGTATTGATTTGCACCATGGGTGGGCCTGGCAATGATTCATGTTAAGAGGAGGGTAAGTTGGGAGTAGCAGCTTGGAAAAGAATGTGGGAGCTATTCACAAATGGGTGTCTACAGTGAGAGCGCTTGCACTTTATTTATAGGCATTACATCTGCTGCAAATGCCTCGTATATGATTTGGACTGCTGCTTTACTCCTTTCTTCTGTGCTTAGAAGGGCTTCAAAGATGAATTGGAGGGATTCCATTTCTTTTTTTTGTATCCTTTCTTCTTGGCCCTTCACGTTAATAACTTCGATTAGCATTGCAAAGAGTGGTGTGCACAAGCCAAGAACCCTGGGGCCCACTTAAAGTGGTTCTGATACTTGAAGGTGAATGTTCACTAGAGAAAAGCTCTTGATAGAAACTTGCATTGTGACGTAGAACAAAACCTTTCCTCCCTCAGCCTTTCTAAATTGGCACAGGGGCTGTCTCTTCCTCTGATTAAAATGTGTGGTCCTCAATTAACTCTGTAACAGGCTGTAAATCATCGTTTCAGCACTTCACTTTTTGGAGGGCTTGGTCTGAGAGATGGCCTTTTTAACTGAGTTTTGCCTTGGGTGTGTCTCCTTGCAAATTTGATGGAACCAAGGCAGCTTTTCCTGGGAAAGGTAGAACCTGGAGGCTCAGTGCTCTTTGTCAAAAGGTTCCCCTATCTGCTAGGTGCACTTGAAAAACCACAGTATTTGTTCCAACTGTTTTAACTAGGCCTGAAACCTACAGCTACAGTCAGGGTAGGTCTTGCATAATTTCTTCACCATGAGAGTGGTGAGACCCTGGCATGGGTTGCCCAGGGAGGTGGTTGAGGCCCCATCCCTGGGGGTCTTTAAGGCCAGGCTGGATGAGGCTCTGGGCAGCCTGATCTAGTGGGAGGTGTCCCTGCTCATGGCAGAGGGGTTGGAACTGGGGGATCCTTGTGGTCCCTTCCAACCCTGACAGATTCTGATCTGTTTTAGCAGAGGACTTAGTAGTGTTGGCTTAATGGTTGGACTTGATGATCTTAAAGGTCTCTTCCAACCTAAAGGATTCTATGATTCTAATTTAAAACCTAAATGGAAAGTAAAGTGGTTAATGTAATTAGCACCTTCTAATAAGCTAAGCCTGTTTTCTCTGGCATTTCCCTGGGAGGCTGTGATGGTCTGCGAGAAGCGCCGCTCCCGGAGCCGGGCCTGACCGGCTTAGGTGCAAGCAGGACGGATGCCCAGGAGCGCAGGCACGTGTCGCGGCGGAGGCGCCGGGGCCGCCCGCTGCCAGCGCTGCGCAGGGACACGGCCGAGTTTGGGGTGTGAGTGCTAGGTTTACGCCTTTCCCCCGGGGAAAG